TAATAATATAAAAGAATTTCAACTAGAAAAATGTCTGTATAGTGTTGAAGAGTTTATGTCGTAGAACCGTAGCGTCTTGTCTGTAAACTTTTATTCTGACATGTTGGCATGTTTGTTTTAGAATATTTTTAGGACAATTCTCATTGGGATTGACATTTTTGATTTCAAACCTGTGGTTTCAGATTTTTGATTTTGTCTGAAATTTTAAATTTCTCGTGTTTTTATATTTACCTAGATTTAAGTTATTGACTATTCCTATACAATGTTGTGTTGTCTACTGGAAAATGAAGATCTCATCTTATCTTATCTTATAATTCATTGTGACTATGAATATGATACGATGAACTACCTGGTACTACAAAAGAGATGTGACCAACTACTGTCCACAAATCTTGTTTGAAATTCTAACAAAGCGAATCATAAATAGTTATTCGTTTTACTAGGCAGAAAAGCACTAGATTTGATGCCGTGGCTGGCGTTTCATAGCCAAGGCGTAGGCGAGGATAGGAAGCCAGTCAAGGCATTAAATCTGCTTTTCTGCCGTGTAAAACATATATTTTTTTCTTCAAATTCGTTCAATTTCACGCAAACTCCAAATAATCCATCATTTTGTTTTCACCCAACGTCAGTGTCAATTTTGACTACCAATTTGATTCGAATTATTTCTTGGAACGTTATGCTACGAACTTTTTCTGCCTAGGCAGTAAAAGTACTGTTTTTCTGACTGTTGCATGTCTCTAAAAATCCACATTCAATGTCGTTTGAAGTAAATAATTATTTTCTCCGATAGGCAGCAAATATTAATTTTGCTGACACATATCAATCAGCAAAGTATTACTTTTCCTGCCTAGGCAGCAAAGTGGGTACTTTGCTGCCTAGGCAGCAAAATGGTTACTTTGCTGATTGATATGTGTCAGCAAAATTAATAATCCATAATTCCTTTATAATTCCCTTCATATTCCATCCGAGATTTTGTTACAATTCAAATTTAACTTAGTTGAAAACGGCTGTATCACTTACTTGAAACACATCAACAGTCATTTATTCGGATCAGGTCAATAATAACAATTTGTTACTACATTTTGAAAGAGTTCATTCTGTGGGTTCCCAGCATTGCTCTCGGTCTTTTGCTGCGAGTGTTGTCTTCAATTGGTACTGGGTATTTTGTCTCACACTGTCATTCCTCTCGGCTCTGCATTCCACACTTTGTTTACCTTCGATCCTGCTATTAGTAGCTAAAACGAAAATAGCACTCTCAGTCTGATATGGGCATGACAAACCATGATTGTGGTAGAAAGGTACTCACCTCAGGGTTTTGTTCGCTCTCATTTTTCAATGGATTTATATCTGGAAACCAGGTAGTTATTTGGGTATGATTATGCTTCTTGTCTTCTCTCCTGGCTGAAGATAATCCGAAATGATGATATTTTATTATCATTTTAGTACTATGGAACTGCATGTCGTGTCATTTACGTAATGTTCGTTACACCTAAATTGCTTTGAGTCTGGAATACTTACTACTGGTAAGTTGTAATTCAGCCCTGTTCCTAATAGGTCCCTTGGAAATAAGATATTGAGTGATATTATCTAGTGGAGGGTTAATTTCACTGCTTATATAATCTTTGTGTATTGTCAAATCTGTATCAGCTGAGTGTCGACTGTCGACATCGTCACCTGTCACCTGACACCTGACACCTTTGGTCTAATGGCACGAAACACGGAGCACACAGTGGTGTGAATCGACCGTCGACTTATTACCATTTAGTCTCCTCAACTTCGGGTCAATTCGGTGTTACACGGCGGAGTACTTATCGTTGGCTTACAGTATTTTATCAAGGTCGGTGGTTTTGGTCATGACGTCATAGTGAGTTTACTGGCGTGTCCAACATCGAGTTGGTTGTCAGTTATACGGTTGGCCAGCAGTAAGTTGTGAATCGGTTCCTAAAGCCTGATAGTAAAGTTCTGAGACTATTCGTCAAGTGAGTCGACCCTTGGTTGATACCGCGGTGGTGCTTCGGTATTCGTCGCTATTATCTTAGGTATCTTCTTTCTCCTTCGACTCCTTGTTTCCTGGACTCGAAGAGACCTCTTCTTTCGCTTTCGACTCTTTGTTTTCTGGACTAGTATTCTGTGTTCTATGTCAATGTGTATGAACGCTACTGCGCAGGCCTGGGTGGTTTTAAGTTCGTAGCCGTTCGTAACGAATATCGGTTTGTAACGCTGTTTCCGATATTTTCCCGGGTTTTCTCAGTGTCATAACGGCGTCTCAAGATGCCTTACATCGTAACAAAGTGATGTAATTTTGCTTGGAAATGGGGAGTTATACCCAATATGTTATTTGGATTTCGTATTTTTTTGTGTACACCGTCACGATGGGAAATGACGTGCTTATGGGGTACAAAAAAATGTGTGAGGAGGACCTACAAGTCTCCAGCCTGAAAAGGGCACCATTTTGTAAAGGTGTGTCTGGTTGCATTGGTGCCGAGGAAGAGCTCCATAATTTGTACCGTGTTTGTGAACGGAATCCACAGCTAGTGGGATTATTTGGAGGTCTTCAACTCGCAACATTTCGTTTCCTCTGTTTTGGAAAGAAATACCCTATAAGGGGATTAATAGCATCATTCAACCGGCCTACCCAATAGCCCGCCCACCATCCAAGGTATGTTGTACTACCATGTGCTATGCAGGTTCACTAGGCTTGGAATATAATCCTGTAAGTGATATTTCCTTTGTTTTAGGGCTTCTTCTTTTCCCTTCTTCTTTTTATCTACTTCACTTTGGTCCTTTTGCTTCTTCTCTTGTCGATGTTCCTGCAAGATGTCTTCAGTTGTCCCTGTTATCAGACTGCTGTCTGGTGCTGCATTATGCCAAGCATTACACTGACCCAGTAGTTCCTGTCTAAACCACCTGACACCAGTAGCACTGCATTGTCTGGAAGCAGCCCCAGCCTGGGAAGTCACTCATTATAGTATCACCAGCTATATGTATGTACTTATGGTGTAGCTGCCAGAAAATACCTGCAATCTGGTAAGACTGCTCCATTTTTATCTCCATTCAAGAATTACCTACCACCAAGGATTTTCAAGTTGAACATTTCGCCTGCGGATCTATGTACTGTATGACCATGTAGAACGTTGACCTCAATAATTAATAAGGGGTATCATATTGCTGAATTTCCACTCACCACTGTAAACCATAGTGATCACATTGGTAAATTATTATTGTTCTGGGAGAAACCAGACTTCAACATAATTGTGTCTAAATTCATGAATAAGGGGGGTCATTATATTTCATAAGGTATATATGTTGAGGTACCTACATAATATTTTGTTGCTATTTACTTGATGGAAATGTTTTTCTAGTGATGTCTACATAGTTAGCAGCTTATGTCATAACTACCATATTCAACCATATTCAGTAAAGGATACAGTCAAATTTATGGCTATAATTCCACCCTACCAACCTTACTCACCCCAGTGTCCCACTGAGCTAGTCAGTGTTTGATCTCTACTGTTTATAATCAGGCACTTTAAACACTTATTTTTGTAACGAAAAATCTATCTCAATTTGCACATCCTTTAATTGAGGGTGAACAGCCTAAACCAATTTGTTAACAACTCTGATAACAAAGCAGCTATAAACAATGCAACCCGTTACAATTTCTTCGGCAACAAATTCAACTCTATATTTTTTGCCACCTCCCTTATTTCTGGAGGAGGAAGTATTCCAGATCGCTATCACTGTCCATTATGTAATGATTTATATATACCAATATTTTGTTGCACGACTGTCAGAAATTTCATGAATTGTTAAACTATATAATTATTATGGACATTTTCATAGCAACCAACCATTCCAACAACTGAGATTTCTATCAAATTTTATTTTAATCACAGGAAAAATAAAGAGATTGTGGGAATTGTGATAATTTGCAAATACAATACCCTCCTATATCATTATGAACAATCGGAGAAAAAATTATATGTTCAACTCGGCAGCAAAGTAGATTACATACATACATACTTACTTACTTACTATTGACTGCCTTAGCTGAATTCATAGCCGAGCGTAGCGTTTGCTGCCTAGTTAAACAAATAATTATTTGTTTAACTTGTCAAAAATAAGAATTCCTAGCCTCGCTACACTCGGCTATGAACTATCAGCCGCGGCAGTCAATCTACATTGAATGAAATACAGATCAAGCTAGTATGTGAATCTCGAAGGCTTCCCTGATCAAAACAAAAATACTCAACTGAGATGTTTATAATTCCTATACTCAACTATAATGAGGTGTCTTTATATCTCCAGCATGGGTATGAAATGCCAAATCTGCCGAAATCGGAAATAAATCAGGTATGCGTACCAACCCGAATAACCGATCGTGACAATGTTGTTCATATTCTTGATGACGTCTATAACATCCTCAGTTTCAAGGAGCTAAAGTTCAACTTTAGCTCCTAGGAACTAAAGTTCAACTTCAGCTCCTAGGAACTAAATGTGTCGCCTAGCAACATACCTATTTTTGTGTCGGTAATAGAAACGTCAATTCAAGAGCTTATTTTGTATTTCTGTATCGGTTGCAGAAAAACGTGTGATGTCCTCTGATTTTGGTATCAATCCTGTGTGAACTATAAGATGCGTAGTATTCATAACCTTTCCTATAGACAATTTGTACGTTTTGATCACATAGAAACAGTTAGATGTGTGTGATTCATTTTCAAAAGTGAGTATATGGGGACCTCGATTCAATTTTCATATTTTGCATGCAGTCATTATTAGTATTATCAAACAAACGAAATTCAACGTCAGGCGATTGGAAAACGAATAAGTAAACTACTCGAATGCTAATCAAAATTACCTATTGGTTAGAGTTTTGAGAAAATGCTTGACTATGATTGAGTAAGCATTTCTCAATGAGTGAAACATACGTTCTTAGAATATTAGTAGCATGAAAAAAATATTATAGCAAAAAATTCAAATGCACTAAAACCACAACTCACCAGTTTTATTTGTGAATACCCCTATAACAAATCAATCATTATTGTTCATTGTTATTTGTGTGTATTCGATTGATAGAATCATATTCTTCCGAACTTTTTGTTTCAAGAATCTGATTCGATGGTTTCTTCAACAATTGCTTATAAAGATGCACACTCTAGAAGAAACTGTACAAATGTTAACATTTCATCCATCATATCCAAATATAGAATGAATTCCATCCATTAGGCATAAAAGATTATAAAAAATATTCCCTTGCAAAAACTCCGAACGGAATTTAAAAAAGGGATCCTAGGTGAACGAATCAATAAAAAATAACACTTGTAGTACTTTTTATTATGTTGTTGTCATTGACATTTATTAATCATAAGTATTCTCATTCGTATGTCGCCATCATCATGTACAGGGCTAGTTTTATCAATGTGAACCCCTCTTAACCTTTTTTATTTTCCACCCATCAAAAAAAAATTTATACAGATTTTATACAATTATTTTTCATACAGGTTCCAATCATACTGACAGTGTTGCAATATCTCTTCAAATATACAGGGAATTCAGAAAATATATATACTCTTTGAATAGAATGCGCTGTATATTTTGATAGATATGAATCCCTTCTATCATACAGGGTGTTTCATAATTGAATGCTGATCCTAAAGGGTGATAATCCTTGGATAATTTTAAGAAAAAGTCTTCATGTGATAATAGGTCCGTAACAGCTTCGTTCCTGAGATACAGGATGTTGAAATTTAACAAAAAAATCAGTTATTCCCCAATATCTCTGAAACCGCTCTGGCATTTATCTTCATTACAAATACTTAAAAATAGTTACTATGAAATTATAAAAATATTGCTCAGATCTTTTGGTTACCACAATTGTGAAATTATGACTAAGAGTAAAAATCAAATAGGGACAAGCAAATGAATGCATTTTATTTTCTAACTCAAAAACCGTTCGCCGGACGAAAAAAAGACAAGAGACCATTTTTATGAGAAGATAGAGGATAATTACAAAAATAATATTCATTTGGAAAAAAGACAGTGGCGTATCATTATTTTGATGAAAAATATGACAGGGTATGTTAACAGGGACGCCACTGATGGAAATTAAGAAATCCTCCATTATGGAAAAAATGTATTTCTATTCATACTCGACATGTACCAAAATTTAAGAAAAAAGCCAGAGCGGTTCCAGAGATATTGGGGAATAACTGATTTTTTCGTTAAATTTCAACATCGTGTATCTCAGAAACGAAGCTGTTACGAACCTATGTTCACATGAAGAATTTTTCTTAAAATCATTCAAGGATTATCGCCCTTTAGGATCAGCATTCAATTATGAAACACTCTGTATATTTGAAATCAATTCAAATCTATCAAAATATACGGCGCATTCCATTTGAAAAAAATATATTTGTCTGCATACCCTGTATATTCGAAGAGATATTGCATCATTGTGAATATGAGTGAAATCTGTATGAAAAATTGTATGAAATCAGCTTTAATTTTTTTTGAATGAGTATGTGAAACAAAAAAGATAAAGGGAGGTTCACATCAATAAAACTAGCCCTGTACAGTTGATGTATTGTTCGACCTATGTATGTATACAGGGTGATTCCTAAGTTGATACCTTGTCCAACTGTGTATAGAATTCGTTGATTCAAACAGCATTTCCAAATAACTTTTCTCCGAACACTGGAAAATAAGGAAAAAGTTGTCAATTTCAACGAGTTCTATACATAGTTCAAATCTTAGGAATCACCCTGTGTATAACAATATAATAGAAAATTAGTTGACTTTTCGTTGAATCGAAAACCAAGGGATGTTCCCATTAGGCTTCATTAGATACAATATTGAACGTTTTCAGTATCGTAAAAAAATGTTGGAGCTTCTCGAACTAGCAACAAACCTAACCGCATTTCATTAAAAATTCCAATCGCGCCCTGTATAATCAAATGAATCATTTCGGAGAAATAAACTCCTATATTCCACTGAAAGTATTCCTGAATGCAGGTCCTTCATGAATTTAATAAAGAAAAATGAATTCAGAATAGGTACAAAGGAAATACTCGGATGTATTGTATCATAACTTTTCATTAATGACAAGCTGAAGATGTTATATAAATCTTGACAAAAGTGAGTTTATTCAAGACTGATTACTGATGATCGCAAAAGTTAGTTGGGAAGAGTTCGAAGTTCAAAGAGAACGTAAGTTTTCTATACATTTTATTTCGAATAAATTATGGATTCTCTTCTTTCAGAATATTTCTTGTAGTATTATATCCGCATCAGACTACAATTTTCAATGAATTCTCACAGGACATTCTGTTCCGTAAGTTCTGAACTCTTATTATATTTACATACCAAGTTTACATCACGAAAGATTGCCTCTTTGGGGACTGAAAAGAGCTTTTCGACTCTGATATTCGTCAAATGAATAATATTACTTTCGACTTCAGATTAAAGGACTCGAAGATTTGGCAGTTAGTGAAGTTATCAATTCCTAATGGAATCGTGGAAAATGGACCCTGAATGAGCCGGCATTCCAATGAATTAGTGAAAATCGAGTGAATATTATATAGTGCTATTTAATTCCACCTGTTTTTATAATGTTCTGATCAAAATGAGTGCACTTGCCCAATTTTTCAACCCCCTTACTTCTTCTTATACTCTAATGGGCCGATATAAACGAGCCGATGACATGAGAGAGAGAGAGAGAGAGAGAGAGAAAAAAAAAGAAATATACTTTGTCTAAAAAACAGAATTTCTTTTTGACAAAGCATGAAACAAAAATCAAATGAAAGTGAATAATATAATATAAACATATACAACTATTCAGATCGATGATATAGAATAAAGAATGAACTTATTGAGAGTGTGAAGGGGCAATAAACAGTACACATAAAAAATTGAAGTGAACAATAATTGTCATAGCAGATCAACATTATGCATACTATTTGGAATAGTATATGGACATCCAAAGTTCGTACAAACATGGATGACCATTGTATGCTTCAAATTGTATGTCCACTGGTCGTCCATCTACGTCAGGTACGTGGAATGTATATTAATTATACTCATAAAGATGAATGTACAATGAATGTTCCAAAATTAACGTCCGTTAGACATTTATTTTACTTCACCTCAAGAAGTTAACTGTCATGGACGTTTGATCAACTTCCATCGTACGTACAAAGACAGATGTACATTGGATGATACAAATTGAACTTCTATTGGATGTCCATCAATAGCCATTCTACGTTCAAGTATTCATGGATGGAGAATGAATGAGTATATAGAGAATTTGTCAAACTAAATATCTATTCGAAATCATTTCAAGTCTGAAGGTTCATGGACGTTAAATTTACGTCTTTTGTACGTTCAGAGATGAACGTGAGATTGGCAGTCCATATAGCTCCATATGTTTTGTCGGTTCTATATCTAGACACCCTGTATATTTATTAGCCCCGACCATTACGCTCTGCTATATTGAGTTTGTCGTGCAGCGCACTGTGAGTTCAATTACAAAGTCAATATCACAACTTCATGAAGTGGATTTACTGCGGTTTAGAGTTGTACTTCCAAACTACCTGGAATAAATCAATCGTAGGAAGTTTTCATCGGAGTCGCATATAAATTCCCCATTCTTGATCAAACTGCAAAAACAGAAACACGAAGAGGAAAAACGAAATGCAATAAGAAACTTCCACAACTGTTTTTACACTTATAATCTCCGTAGCGTCTTTGACTGAGGATGATTTTCTATCAACAAAAACATTCTTGCCTGGAATGTAATTAAGGTATAGTTCGTTTTTGAATGTGAAAGACATTGAGTATCAAATATGTTATCTGAAATCCAATGTCTGTATAGTTTTAAATTCGAATAAAACTTTGAATAACATATTTCCGATGACTATAGTTATAACGCACTATATTTCTACAATAGAAGTGAATTTTACTTGTTAATAAATGAGGTTTAATACTGGAGTTTCAGGAACATTAAAACCACCAATTTCTTCATCTACGGCCACTATAGAAAGTAGGCAAGATCACACGAGATACAGCCTCAGTAAGTAGCTCTTTACGCACAGTAAACAAATCGCACAGTTTTCGTTTATTCCGCCAGTATAGGTATTTCATGATCGCGTTATCGCCGTCAGCAGCGGATGACAACAACTGTCAAGAATTATAATTCAGACTGGTTGTCCAAACTTTTAAGATATGTACTATATGGCAGAACGTAAAGTATAGAACGTAATGCGTGTTGTAAAGGAATTACGCACTCGCCGCTCCACGGCTACGTGAGTAACTTTTCCAGTGGTGCGTAATATGCTTCATTATTCAGCATACGGGACGTAGAAAGAAACCTTGAATTGAAAAAACCTATTCACGAATCTGCGATAGGAGGTCTATAAAAATATCAAGTTTCCATCGTTCAAGTTTGAACCCCTTGATTGGGTGAAAGTATTGAAAAAAGAAATATTCTCAGATCAATTATGAATATGAAAAAATTGATATACTAATAAAGAACTACATTGAGAATCCGCATCCTCCATGTGATACAAATATACAATCTTTCTCGGTTTATTCAAAAGTAAACCACTACTTTTCTGGCTATATGTCACGGAGAACATTGAATTATATCTATTGAACACACACGATGAGAATTTGAAAACAAAATCTTCTGAAGTTGAGAATTTGCATTCTCCTTCAGTGAAAAATATGTATATGCACTTGATATCATTCTGAATATTCAACAGAAAACAACCACTTTCCTGGCTATTCGCCACGTTGAACAATGAATTATATCTGTTGAACATCCAAAAGGAGAACATTGAAAATAAAAATCCTCTGAAATTGAGAATTGAGATTTTTTCTCAATTACGATAAATAATATTATGTATTTTGATGAAAAATTTCAACTTACCAATATGTTCAGTATTGGAATGAAAATTGAAATATATAAATGTATAGAAATATTAACTGAATTTTGTAAAAGAGCCCTCCTCCTTCGGAATATAAA